CCCTTTCCTGGCTCCATCAGGCAGGAGGACGTGTTGGCAGATGCCAGGTACCAGTGGTGGCTCCTGTGGGGTCTGTGGTCTCTAGTTTCAGGTCTCCAGGCAGTGGCTTTTGCCAGGGTGACAGCAGGGTGCTCACAAGGCTCTGAGCTCCTGGTGACCAAGGTGCTCGTGATGCTACTTGGAGCATCTTCAGTTGAGTAGGGGAGTGCTGAAGTGCACCAGGCACCTGTTAGCAGCAAGATCAGAGTCCTAAAGATGCTTTTGGGCTCAGCCAGCCAGCTTGCATGCAGGTCTGAACATCAGGCCAGTTAATTTCAACCCTAACCCATTTAGGATCTTCTTGGTGTTCCCTTTCTTCTTTGAATCCACCTTTAGGGAGTGTAGTTTTTGGCTCGTGGCTTTGCAGACTTTAATAGAAGCCATAAAAGTGGAATAAGTTGGTGGTGACACAACTGGGCTGGGTATGCTGAGGGTCACAGAATCTTGTTTGTGGGTTGCAGCTCATTCCTGTGACCATCCACAACCATCCTTCATCTTTATGCCAGCAGAGTCTTTTTTCTAAGCTGTTAAATTCTGCTCTGCTATCGAGGAGCAGCAGTGCCCATAAAATCCAGTAGCTTAAGTTCACAAGGAGATTTGGCATCCAGTCTTGAGTGGCCTGCTAGAGGTGCTGTTTTAATAAACAGAAAAGGGAAATCAACCCTTTAAATTGCCTTTTTAAAGTCACCATGTGCTGCAGGAGAGTTCCCCTGTGAGCAGAGCTGGGGGTAGGAACGTGTCAGCATCTGCTGGAGGTTTTTGCCAGAGTCCTCTTCCCACTGAATTTCCTGAGCTGATTCATTTAGGGACACTGGACAAGACTAATTTAGGCTGAAATGTAGCCAAAGAAAAGGTGACCGACTAAAGCCTTGGTTGTAATCAACTATTTGCAGAAGAGAATCACTATGTAGGATTAATTATTTCTATCTAGTCTATTAAAAGGGAGCATATAGAAAAAAAAATCCTTCTCCCTTCAGCCAACAGAAGCCTTCTGCTTCCAGAGAGGATTAACCAGGGGAATTTGCTGAGTGTGTTTTATTACTGCATCATCTTCTCCAGGGATAGATGGGATCCTGCAGAGTGGTGGGGTCCACTTACTCCTTTTCCTCAAGTGCCCTTGAAACCCACTTGCAGACTAATGGCCTCAGGTTTGTTGTCCTTCTCAGGCTGATCCCAATTTTCAGCCCCCTCGTTTAAATGAAGCCTTGATTGATAACATTGTGGGTTTTTTAAATGCCCCATCTCTGCCTGGCTGGATAAATAAAGGAGTAAATGCTCCTCCCACGTAGCTGAGCTTCTGCAGGTGGTTCAGCACTTGACTGAAGGCTTTGCCTCCACGATGCTTTGCTGTGGTGGTGCAAGGAGACCTGCAGCATCTCGCTGGTGGCACATCAAAGGCAGAAAGCAGGACTGGGAGCTGTGGTTGGAAGCCCTGTTGGTCCCACCATCAGAGCCCTGCTTGGAAAATGAGCCATCTCAGTCGTGTGGTGCACAGGGGAGCTGGCTTCCTGGAGTGATCTGGCTGAAGGAGGGCAACCAAACTCACCAGCTGCTCCCTCTGGATCAGCAAGAGGTGACTGGGCTCGTGGTTGGGGGTCTGCTGTAGTTGGGTGCTCCGTGATGGTGCTCAGATGAAGGTAGGAGGGCTACAAAGGTGCTGAGGGGCTGGGGCATCTCTGTGCCCAGGAAAGGCTGAGAGCCCTGGGGCTGGTGAACTGGAGAAGACTCAGAGGGGATCTGATCAGGGTTCATCAGTATCTAAAGGGTGGAGGTCAAGAGGCTGGGGACAGAAGGGGGGGAGGTCAAGAGGCTGGGGACAGACTCTTCTCAGTGGTGCCCAGTGACAGGACAAGGGGCAGGGGGCACAAACTGGGACCCAAGAGCTTCCACATCAACAGGAGGAAAAAATTCCTTCTTGGGGTGGCAGAGCCTGGGGCAGCTGCCCAGAGAGGATGTGGAGTCTCCTTCTCTAGAGAGATTCCAAACACTCCTGGATGTGATCCTGGGCACCCTGCTGTGGGGGTTGGATGAGGTCATCTCCAGAGGTCCCTTCCCACCCCACCCTGCTGGGATCTTGTGATCTCATGGTTGTGGAGCTGCTGTGTTTGGGTGCTCTGTGACTGTTCCCAGATGCAGGTAGAGCTGCTGTCCCACTCTGGAGCTGGGCAGGTCCCTCCCTTCCCAGCACCACGTCCTCCACTCTGGGGACTGGAGGGATGAGCAGAGCTTTGAAGGTCAGTCACTTGCATGGTGGTGGAGATGATATTGAAGAGCACTTGCAGGGTGGAGGACCAGATTCTTTTGCTCTAATTTTAAGATTGAGAGAGGTGGTTTGGGGCTTTTTGGAGCATGTTCTTGCTTCTCCTGCAGACCCAGTTGGGTTGGGTTGTTTGGTCATGCCCTGCACAGGGTCCCTGGCTGCAGGGATGCTCATGTGGCACCATCACCATTTATTTGGAACATGCCTTGGCTGATAGAACTTGGGGCTGACCATGCCTCACCCTCTTAGAACCAAGCTTAGGGATGAATAAGTAAAGCATCAAAACTCCAGGGGAACAGGAAAAACCCTCAGAGACACATGAAATTCCTCTTGTGCTGTGGAGATCTGCTCGTGCAGGAGTTGGCCTTGATGGGGACAGCAGGCAGGCTGGGCTGGAGAGCTCTCAGCCTCACAACTGCCCCAGTAAAGAGTTTAGTAGCCCTGCTTCTGCTTTGGTAAAAAGGAGGAGACCTTCTAAGCAAGTCAACAGCTATGGATAAAGGATATCTGAACCTGGGATGTGAGGAACAATGGTACCAATGCAAACTCTCCTAACCTCTGGGAGTTGGTGGCACCTATGCAGACGTCCTCAGCACCCAGCCTGGGTTTGGCTTTTCCCACTGAGCAGCTTTTTGGAGACTTGGATGTTTCCAAAGAGGTTAAACCCCACTGCTGTGTGAAAGCCAAGTCCTGGGGACTGCTGCCAGGCCTGGCTGTTGAAGCCCAGCAGGAGATGCTGGTCAGGGCAGCCTTGGTGCCTTCTTCCTTTTTTTCTAGCTGTGTCTCCACTGCAATGTATCTGGGCAGCACAAAACTTTGATTTTCTTGGTGTGATTTAGATGAGGAGGAAGGCACAGCATGGGCTGTTTTCTCTATCACTAGAAATCATGAGTTTTTCCAAAGGATTGAGCTCTTCTATTAAATTGCAAGATCTTTTCCTTCCACCATTTCTCCTAGCCCAAGGCAACTGTCTCTGCAGTCCTTGATCTTTACAGCTGAACATGGAGAAGCTCTTTGCAGGTGTGTTACCCTGTGTCAGGGAGGAAGGAGTTGCTGTTTAGGAACATGATTTTTACCCACCAAAGCCAATCCAGGAATCTGGGAGGCTGCACTTCTCCAGGCATCACCTTCTGCTTGGTTGTCCCAGGGGCTCAGGGTCTCTTGTGTGAGCCCCAGCATCTGGCAGCCTCCTGCACCCCCTGGGGCAAGAGGGGCAGTCGTGGGGTGTTTGGGGCAGTCTGTGGCTATGGTCTTGATGGCAGCATTTGTCCCCCCAGCACGGGCAGTGCCTGGGGTGGCTCTGGCTGATGCACTTCCCAGCTCCTGGCAACCTGGGAGGTTTTGTGCCAAGGGGCTCAGTGGGCTGTGGACCATTTGGGATGTCTTTCCTTTTTCATCTTTTCCCTCACTTAGGGACAACAGGCGTGGGGTTAGAAGTTCTCCAGGTGTCTTCTTGGTGGAGTTTCTTCATTTTTAACCTCTCTGTTTGCTGTTGTTTGAAATGATGAGAATATGGCACGAACATGTCCCAGCATCCCCAAGTCCAAATCAACTCCTGGGGATGCTGACCCTGGGTCAGCCCAGGGGCACAGAGCCCTGCCCATGGAGGCAGCCACAGCCACAGCCTCATGTTCATCCCAAGTCTTGGGTGCCTCCTGCTTTTCAGGGGGTGTGGGTTTCCCCTTGGTGGAGCAGGGATGGGTTCCACCCATGGTTCCATGGGTTTGAGCAGTGTTCCTCTTGCTGGCAGGACCACTGGCTCGGGGTAGGAGCTTCTGAAGCAGATGGAGCCACAGGCCAAAAGCCAAATTCTCAATTCCCAGGCTGTTTGTTCCCCTTTTGGTCTCAGTCCAAGGCAGGTGGCCACAGTGCCACGTAGGAAGCCAGCCCAGTGGGAGCCAGAGCCGTGCCGTGGTGGGATGTGAGAGATTTCTGTGAGTCGTGGCTCTTTCTCAGCCTCTCCTCCTTTTCTTCCAGGATCATACCACAGCTGGAGAACTCACCCTGCCAAGTTTCACCAAGCAGCCTGCCTGGCTCTGAGATTTCAGAGGCCACAAGGACTTACCTGCAAGGAGTGAGCCGCTATGACCTGGACGAGCTCGACGCTTGCTGGTTGGAACTGGTCAATATGGAGCTCAAGGAGATGGGTGAGTGTGGCTGGTTTTCTCCTTGCCTGGGCATCCCAGAGTGGGCATTCAGGCTTTTAAATTAATCACGTGGAACAAAAGGTCTTGAGGAAATCTTGGTTAAGACTCTGCAAAGGAGATCTCATGGGTTGATCTGGAGTGGGTCTGGATGCTTCTCACTCACTCAGGGGTTTGGGGATGTGGTGCAAGGAGAGCAGGAGAAACCAAGTGATGACAGGAGCAGTGCAGTGTGCGCTTTTAAAATAATCACATGGAACAAAAGGTCTTGAAGAAATCTTGGTTAAGACTCTCCAAAGGAGATCTCATGGGTTGATGTGGTGTGGGATCTGGAGTGGGTCTCGATGCTTCTCACTCACTCATGGGTTTGGGGATGTGGTGCAAGGAGAGCAGGAGAAACCAAGTGATGACAGGAGCAGTGCAGTGTGCCCCATTTGCAGAAGTGGTAGACCCAGATCCCTCATGGCCATGATGATGATGATGATCATCCCCTCCCATACTGATCCCTGCAGTGTCTGTGCTGCAGGAGGGTGTGTTGGTCAGGGTGGGTGTGTTGAGCCTGACTCCTCTTCCTTTGCCCAGCCAGATCTGAGAGCATTGCTCCAGCTGCAGCCAACAGGGCAGATAAAGAGGATTTCTCAGTCAGAATGTGTAGTTCTCATCAGTGCTGGTCCTGTGTTGTCCCTCCTTTCCCAGTTGTCTCTAAATATCCCAGCACAACGTTGCCTACATCACTGCTGTTCCATCCCTGCACATGCCTGAAATCCAGTAGTGCATTTCAGTTGAGTGCAACTACCTGGACTTGGAATTTGACCACTGGCACTAGTGCTTAGCATGGTCTGCTGGGCAGATTTGTTGGCACAGACATGTGGGTGTGTTGTCCTGCAGGACTGTGGAGGGATTTTCCAGTCCTTGTTAGGTAAGGGCTGCTGTGGTGTGGCTGCTGCTTCACAGGTAAGAATAACAACACAATAAAACATTCACCTTGGGAGGTCAGTGAAAGCTGCAGTGTGCCTACGAGAGGCATTACTCCCTGTAGCAAAGGTTTTTCCAAGGCTGGACAATGGGATCAAGGGCTTGAGCAGACAGGATAGTGAGGGCTGTGCTGAGCCTCCTGGCTGGGAGCTGCAGGGATGCTCAGGAAGGTTGCAGTGAGATGTAGCTCAGCAGTGAGCTCAGAAGTTGGCCACCACGTTGGCTGATCTTGGGTGCAGAAGGTCTCTGCTCTTCTGATGTCCTCATGATTTACAACCAGGCTTTGTTACCATCAGCTCCAGAGCCTTGTGAGTGTTGTAGAGTCGATGTTTAGAGTTTGGGTGGTGAAAGTTTGTTGCTTTTTTCAAACTATTAAGTGACAAAGGCAGCATCTTAAACAGCTTTCAGATGTGGAGCTGGCAGGCTGGTGGGGAACTGGGAGGCTGAGATGGGTGCTGTTGGGGCAGGGGGACAGCCCCTTGGGTGCCAGACCTGGGTGCTTTGCCAGCCGCACTGCCTTGGCAGTGTGTTGGGTTTAGGAGAGGGGCTTGAGTATTGTCACAGCCACCTACCCCTGGCAGCCCAGCCCCTTGGAGGCACGTTGGGTGGGCTGGCATCGTGCTGGACCCCATGGTGGGACCCAGGGGGTGCTTTGCTGCTGACCCTCTGTGCAGTTTGGAGCAAGCTGCATTTTCTGGCTCCTTGTCATTTATCAGCCAGGCAGCTCTTTCAGGGACAGTGCTTGGGAGGTGCTTGCACAGCACCAGGCTGGATGGGACCACGGTCTCTGAGGAAGCCCCTGAGCCTTGCTGCTGTAGCCAAGGCTAGCTGGTGATAACAAACCCAGGGGGGTTTCAGCAGAGGTAGTGCAGAGCCTCACTGCCCATCAGCTGATGCTCCAGCCTGTTCCTGCTGGTAATTACTGTAATTACTGGCTGAGCCTTGGACGTGCTGGGGAGAGAGCAGCTCCAAGACTCAGTGCTGGGCGTGTGACACACCACAGGTTTCACTTCAGCCGAGGGGTTCTGGTCCCTCACCCCATCCCCCAGCCTTCCCAACTTCTCCAGCAGTGCCAGGGCCAGTGCCTTTTTTTCCAGTGCCTTGGAAGGGGAAACCTGTGGCACTGATGAGTAATGGGGGGTCTGGCAGGTTGGGAGCAGGGCGGGTGCTGGAGCTCCTGTCTGCAGCACCCCGATGGCAGCACCCACCCCCACCCATGCTGGTGCTGCCAGGGCTGGGCCCCAGGGGCTGTGGGGCAGCAGGGTTGTTGGGGGAGGTCCTGTCTTCCTGCTCCTGGAAGGTTTGGGTGCTCAGAAAGCTGTTGGAGCAGATGTGTGGCTGCTCAGCTCTGGGGCTGTGCAGGAGTGGAGCCTCTCCTCCCGCTGCCTCCCAGATGGGAGAAGCTGGGTGCTGCAGGGGTGGGATTTGGGTGCCCTCCCTCACCCCAGCAGATTGCTGCCTGCCTAGGTTGGGCTGAAGGCAGTCCATAAATAGTGCTTTCTCCCGGAAGCCCTTGACATTAATGACACACTGAGTGAGATTCCCAAAGCAGCTCTGCTAATCTCTGACATCATTGCCGTGACTTAACGGGAGCAGCCTCTCCTCTTCAGAGGAGTTCAGGAGTTATCTCCCAGCCTCCAGAGATAGGCAGAAGTTTAAATTCCTCCAGGGTGTTTTGTTGAGCTGTTGTCACCGGGCAGTCCAAGGGCACAATGTGTCATTCCCAAAATATTTCATGACAAAGAAGGAGCCTGGTCTCTGACTGGCTCTTCAGGAGCCGAGGGGAGGAGAGCTGGAAAACACCTATGAGATCATCCATCTCCAGCGTTGGTCCACGTAGCACGTGGCACATGCCTTTTCCAGTCCTTTTTAGGTCACCTCAGGGATGGAATTTTATCACTGGGATCAGATAAACCTCCAGATAGCTCCAGCTCTCTGCACTCTGCTGGTTCCTCTCCCAGCTAGATGGATTGGCTCTGAAAAGTGAAAGGTTTACACGTAAACCAGCCTCCAATAGTTCTTAAAAGTAAGATGCTTCAGTAGCTATTACTATACTTGGTAGAAGAGCATGGTTTAAAGAGGTGAAATCAATATTTAAGCATGCCTAAATGTTTTATTTGTTGCTGCAATATGAGATGGTAAAAAAAAAAGTGGGTCTGGAGGAGCCTGAATGAAACACAGACCCATATTTAAGTACATGCCACTCCACTCCAGCCTTTCCTTTCCGAGAGGAGCCGTGCCATAAGTCTGTGGGTTTACATTCACCTTTTATGCTGTATTTTGTGATCTTTACTAAATTCAAAGCTATTGTAAGAGGGAGGCTAGAGAGACTTCAAAGCCCAAGGCTGAACGAGCCCTTTGCAGTGATCAGCACTTCATAAACACAAGGAAAATCCTCAAGAAATTGCTCAAAAACGTTGCCGGAATCAATTTTGCTGAAGGCAGAGCTGAAGTTTCTCAGTATTCCCTTGACTTAATCCATATGGTGTATGCAGCTCACATATGCCCACCACAGCTTCTATCTTGGGAGCTGGAGGTGTTCCTGGTATTTTATGGCAGGCACACGCAAAGGTCACATGTATTGCTTTTGAAGCTCCGGGGGGAATTCATCACTGCATGCTGGAGATCTGTCCCTGTGCTAATGAGACAGGACCTCCCTTGGAGGGAGGGGAGGTGGGTCGAGTAGATGTGGAACAAACCCAAGGCAGGGGAGTGACCCCAGGGAAGATGTGCTGGGTGGAGCAGGGGCTGCCACGGAACGTACGCCTGGGAGGGCGGCTGCTGGTCTCACCGGGAGGGCTGGGAGCCCCTGTCTGAGGTTCCCCCCATCCCACCACCTCCTTTTGGGGTTTGGGGGGGTCCATCACCCACACACAGGTGCCCATCACCACGCAGGGGCGCCTCCATGGCTCACATTTGGAGCTCTCCCTGGAGCACAGACCCCCACGGCCGTGGCACAGCCCCGTCCCTCCCCGCTGCCCCCGGCCAGAGCTCTGCCATGGGCACCATTGCCCCCCAGTGCAGGGGGTCTGGGGGCTGCTGTCCCCCCAGGGATGTTCCCAGCCCCAGCTCAGGGAGCAGGAGCAGAGGGGTGTCCTCCTTGTAGTGGGATCTCAGCATGGTGGGGTTGGAAGGGACCTCTGGGGATAATCTCATCCAACCCCCTGCTCCAGCAGCTCACCCACAGCAGGGTGCCCAGGGTGGCATCCAGGCAGGTTTGGGATCTCTCCAGAGCAGGAGACTCCACAGCCTCTCTGGGCAGCTGCTCCAGGCCACAGCAAAGAATTTTCTTCTCCTGTTCAGGTGGAACCTCCTGGGTTCCAGTTTGTGCCCATTGCCCCTTGTCCTGTTGCTGGGCGCCACTGACAAGAGTCTGGGGCCAGGGTGGCTCCCTGCCCTCTAGGTATTGATCAGCATTGATCAGATGCCCTCTGAATCTTCTCTTCTCTGGGCTGAACATCCCCAGGGCTCTCAGCCTGTCCTGGTAGAGATGCTCCAGTCCCTCAGCAGCTTTGTAGCCTGCATTGAACTCTCCAGTAGTCCCCTGACTCTTGAACTGGGAAGCCCAACACTGGACACAACACTCCAGGGCAGAGCAGAGGGGGGAGAACCTCCCTTGACCTGCTGGCCACATTCTTCTTAATACACCCCAGGAGGCCAGTGGCCCCTTGGCCACGAGGGCACCTGACTGGCTCATGGGTCTGTGTTTCCTTTAACCACCAGCCCAGCTCCTCTGTTTCAAGTGTCCTGCCCAGAGCCACCAGGGACCCTTCCACCTGAGCTCACCCTGCTTGCCACCCATCACTTGAGACAGGTTAGCCCATGAATAATACAGGGTCTGTTTGTTGGGACTGGGTTTTTTTTTCCCTTGTTTTGAAGAGATCCTGGTGGTTTGGAGCTGTTTTGTAACACGGCTGTGCTGTAGCCCACAGCAAACATCTAAAAGCTTTGTTCTCTGCTGAGATCATAAGCTCATCACACAAGAGATCATTTTGGCAGCAGACCTGTTTGGTGCCTGGATAGGAAAA